AATAGTTTTTCCATGGCCAACTATTATCACACAAAATATGTATTTCACTTTTTAAGTATAGTTATAAAAAATATTTTGTTACAAATATATATTTTTTAGATCAGAAAAAAATAAGCTTTTCAAAATTGCCATAGCCGCCTATGATTTCCATTTAAAAAAATACAAGTTTATCTTATTACGGCTAAACCAATAACTGAAAAAAATTGTTAACTACATTATTAAATTCTACGTAAAAAAGTATATGTATAATGTCTTTGTTTCAAATCTGTATCTTATATAATAACAAAGATATAAATTTTTTTAGATTTCGCTAAAATGTCAATTTTTGTCTATAAGTCGAAAAGAAAAGACGATAGCGAGATGCGGTTTTAATCAATATTATTTTCTCAAAAAATGAGCCCCAGAATGTATCACTCGTCTTTGGCTAAACCTCTTAGTTTTGGAGATTCCCTATTCGGACATCCGAAATGCAGCACCCTGTACTTCTGCACTCTCAAAATTCGAAATTTCATGTTTCTGATTTTGTTTTTAAGTCTTTAAACTCTATTTTATTTCATTAAAATTTGAAAAGAGCATTTCTACACTCTCTAAGATCATACTTTCTAAATTTAATGTTTTTATATCCCTTTAAATATGTACACCGTTTTATTCCCTTAAAAACTAATTTTCGAAAAATCTGATTTTAGTGCCCCTTTACACCTCCAAAGAATTTTATGTTTATATCTTTGTTTAAAGATTTACACCACATTTAACCCCCTTAAAGATTGATTCTCTCTTTCATCCAAAATTTTTCTTATATCTCCGTTTAAATGTTTACACCCGAGTCACCTTTCAGGCAGACCAGCTTAGTTGGGGAACGCTCTACACATATAAATACTTACCATATCGTAATGAAATGTGTTTCAAAGGATTTTTAATGCAATTTTATGTAGACTCCAAACTTTTGAAGCCTACAAGTCCTACGACAAAAATGAATAGGACCATTTTTGTAGGAAATTTTGATGCAGAAATAGACTTCTACAGAAAATTCTGCATAAATTACATAAACGATGAGTTTGTATTTATAGACCCTCGTGACTCCCCCTTCGTTTAATGAAGTATTGCACCCAGTAAATTTAATTAACTGTCAGTTTTTTTTTAAATTACAAGACTAATTCTGTTTTAAATGCAGATAAAGCACATTTTTTTAAATGATGTTTTTTTTCTGTCCTTTAACTCGCTTACGGTTAGTCCTACAACAAAAATGCAAAGGACCATTTTTGTAGGAAATGTTGTAAGCTTTAATTTTGATAAGAAAATAATAACTTATAGGAGTGATAATTTTCGAGATATAAGCAAAAAACCAAAAAAAGACACTTTTAACCCCCTCCTTGAGCTCGCCCCCACCTTCGGGGACTTTTGATATATTATTGTATTATTGTATTATGAAAAACGCCCCAAGCCATAACTTCATTATTTTTAAAGTTATGACAATACTTCTTAGAACAAAGTTGAACATTTTTTGTCATCTATCGTTTAAGATAGATGCTAAATTAATGCTGTTTTCTGTTTCACCGGAAATCACATCAACTCTTTTTTTTTAATGGAACACCCTGTATATTTTACCACTTTTGGATTCTCTGTTTAGTTGTCTTTTAACAAGTTTTAGTACCATATGCCTAAAACTAACCGTTCGTGAGATATTCACCAAATAATGTATTTATTAAAGTAGGTAATGGAAAACAATAATATCAAGTAATGTTGACAAATATTATTCCTTTGCATTTTCTCTTACTGTTTTTATACATTTTAATGTTAATCATGGATGATAATGTGTTAACAGACATATTTTGAATAAAATAAAAATTGTGGGAGAGCACTACGCTTTTACACTGGGTGATTTCTGATGAGAGACGTTCCAAATCGTCGAAAATTTAGGCGACTTAAAGAAAATTTGAGGATGTTTTGGGCTTTTAGAAAACCCAAATTAGAACATCTCCAATTTCAAAGAGATACAGAATTTGATAGGTATTGAAGAAAATGCAAGAACATGAATTCAAGAAATTGCAAATAACGTTGGCTTATCGCACGCAACTGTTCTAATTTGGATTTTCTGAAAACCTCAAACATCCTCAAACTTTCTTCAGGTCGACGAATTGGAACTTCTCTTATTGGAAACCGCCCAGTGGTCTCCAACTATTTTTATTGCTTTCAAAATATTCTTGAATCATGTCTGTTAACACATTATCACCAAAACACCAAAAAGTATAAAAATAATAAGAGAAAATGCAAAGTAATAATATTTGTCAACATTACTTAATATTATTATTTTCCACTGCCTACTTTAATAAATTTTTAATTGACTCATATCTCACGAAAGGTTGGTTTTAGGCAAAAAAAAGACAATTAAACAAGGAATCCAAAACTGGTAAAATATACAGAGTGTTCCATTAAAAAATAAAGTTGATGTCATTTCCGGTGAAACAGAAAACAGCATTAATTTAGCATCTATCCTAAACGATAGATGACAAAAAATYTTCAACTTTGTTCTAAGAAYTATTGTCATAACTTTCAAAGTAATGGAGTTATGGCTTGGGGCGTTTTTCATAATACAGCCTGTAGTATACCTAAGTGTAAAAAAGCGTTTAAAAAAAATTCCCAACTCTCTAGGATTTTTTTCCACCGATTTGTCTAATTTGACTGGGCTATGGGCGGTTTTCAGAGATTAGGAGCGAGAGGGAGAGCCAGAATCGCTCGATGGGCGAGTCGCCCTCCATGGCTCAGATCCAGAACAAGCAGAACAGAGACCAACAATATCTCGCTGTGCGAGTGGGACGAGGACCGCAGCCTTTGGCCATCGATTCGGACACGTATAAGGCCGAATCGGCCGATTATATCGAGGATATTTGTCCCTATGCCACGTTTCAATTGTCCAAACCGGCGTACAGTGAAAGCTCGTACAGCGGAAATGTGTACAGTGGACCGTACCATTCGGTACGGGGTTCTTTTGTTTATCATGATGTTAAACCACCACCTATTGATAAGTTTAAGTTAGGACATGTAAGTCTCATTTATTTTATTTCCAAACTCGTTTTGATTGTTTGTTGCCTTTGACTTTCTTCTTACTTTTATTCAAACAGGCAAAAACACTAAAACTGGCGAGAAACTACCCACAAGATTTCAAAATTTTGCGTTTTTTATTTTAATAAGATTTTGAATTGAAATTGTTTGGGTAGTTTGCCACAACTGTCTTCACAATTGATAATTTAATGTGATTTTTGTTTTAGAATAAAGAACCAGAATATACCAAGGTTCGGAGAAAAGGGGGAAGACTGAGAGATCCACATTCAGAGAGTCAAGGTAATTTAAAAAAGAATAAAATAAAATAGACTAAAAATATTATAGAATAAATCCTTAAAAAAATGTGTTCTTAGTAGTCTATGACTTTGAAAATAAGTTGGCAACATTGAATCGTACACAATATAACTGTTTGATTAGTTTTACAACACTGAATTATCGATAATCCTTCTAATTTGTTATATCAGAATATTTCATGTGACGGCTAAATCAGCAGTCGCCCGTCGCAAAGGAATGACAATTGCCTATAAAAATTTGACGTTTGAATTTAAAAGTCAAGGTTGCCAAACTAAAATTTTATATTTGACACCAGTTTGAAGTAAAATCGCAATCATAACAATTTGTTGGTTAAGTTTCAACTTAATTTAAATGTAATAAATGATACTGTCACGGTCAAGCTGTCAGCAACCGGAAATCTAATTCAATTGTGCAATTTAAAAATGAAATAATTCAGCATTGCCAACTCAAATGTCATTCTTGTTTACCTTATACGGAAATGTAAATGGCTGTACTGTGATTTTTATGTCAAATGCAAAATCTTACTTTGGCAACACTGACTCAATTTCCAAACGTTAAATTTTCATAGACAATTGTCATTGATTTGCGGCGGGCAACTGTTGAACATACTGAAATAACAAATTACGAAGATTATTAATAATTCAGGGATGCCAAWAGATTCCTTTAAAAGTATCCGCCGCATCCACCAATTCTGTTAATTTAAAAATCTTAATTTGGCAACTTTGACTGTCAAAATTTTAACAGGCAATTGTCATTCATTTACGACGGGCAACCGCTGGCTTAGTTGCCACCTAAAATATACTGAAATAAAAAATTAAAAGGAATATTAATATTTCAGTGATGCCAATAGATTTCTCTAAAATTATCCTGGTGCATACGTCATTTTTGTTGACGTCCAGTTTCAAGATTGAATTTAAAGGAGCTTTAAATTAAATGTTGTTTAGATTGTGCTAATTATTGCAAACTTGTTGACAAAAATTTCACATTCTAAGCCAACATTAACTCTAAAGTTTCTTATAAAACTAGCCCTGAAATTCTTAGTTTGGCAACCTTGAGTGTCAAATTCAAACGTCAAATTTCTTAGTCGTCACCTACTGCTGCAATAAATGAAATAAGAAATTAAAAGGAATATTAATAATTCAGTAATGCCAATAGATTTCTCTAAAATTATCCCGGCACGTACAGTTGGAGACAAAATACTTTGGTCGTCACTTTTCTGACACTTTAATGTAATTCAAGCTTTAACGTTAAAATGAATGACAATTTCAAATTAATGACAGCTATTATATTTTCCTATCAAAAATATGTACAACTTGTCAACTATGATTGACAGTAGCTAAAAATAAGGTTAACATTCCTAAAGTATGCTTTACAATTTAATGTCACTCAAGTGACCGTGACGACCAAAGTATTTTTTCACTCACTGTTTTTTTTTGTTAATTGAGGTCCAGTTTCATAAATGTTGTTTAGAATGGACTGATTACTACTGGCTTGTTGAAAAAAATTCACAATCTAAACCAACATTAACTTTAAAGTTCCTTTAATTGGATTATAAAACTGGCCCTGAAAATCTTAGTTTGGCAACCTTGAGTGTCAAATTCAAATGTCAAATTTTCATAGAAAATTGTCATTTATTTGCTATAGACAACCGCTGACMAAATCGTCACCTGAAACCTATTAAAATAACAAATTCAAAGGATTTTTAATAATCCAGTGTTGCCAATAGATATCCCGGCGCATCCACCATTTTTGTTATAAAATAAAATAAATAAAAATCTGTTTGGCTTATTTTTAATTCAATCATATTTTATAAATTAATACAGAATAGCGCTAACTTTTTGAGAAATAAATGATTGATTGACTGCTTTAAAATCGGTTTTATTTCTGTCAGGTTGGTAATTGTAATAAATTACAAGGTGCAAGGTTTAAACGTATTGGTTAAATATTTTGTAAATAAATATTTTTCCTTTTATTAATTCAAGTCCAAGTGAATGTGTTATTTCGTTCTAATAATTCAGTGTTGCCAACAGATTTTCATTGTAAAAAAATACATTTAGCTCATTTTTTAAACCTAGTGGATAGTCCCTTGGTAGAATTGGGGCCACTGCTGCTCACCCTCTTTGCCCGCTAACTCAGTCCGATTATATTTCAGAGTCTGATAACCTGGGCAGCACTGACTCAGAAGTGAAGAAGATACTAACTCTGCACCTGCCTATTTCAGAGTACGACACTCTCGGTTCGGATTCCGAGGTCGACGGGCGCGCCACCAGCCAAGAACTCATGTCTTTTAGTCATAGAATGCGTGGTAAAAACATTCGATACATTTAAAACCCCCATTTGTGACATTTCTGTTAACTGTCGCTCTGTTAGGAGGCGCCGAAGGCTCGTCGTCGTCGTCGGAGACGTCGCCCCCGTCGGGCAGCGTCGGCCGCAAGCCCTACCCCGCACGCAAAGGCAAAACCAAGGGCGCCCCCTTGAGCAAGCGCCACGTGCGGAGCAGCAGCGGCTATTCGAGTCACAACGACGAGACCACATTTAGCATCTCGCACGCGCCGAGCTTCAACGAACGGATTCATCCGCCGAGTCGGTTCTCCGATTTGAACCCCAGGGAGCTGAGCGAGGGCGAGTTTGAAAAGGGGCACAGAACGAGGGGAATGTCCAAACTGACACGAGAAGCTTTCCAAATCAACGTTTGAGGGGCCAAATGGCCACTTCATTTTCTTGTTTTCAAATATTTTCACTTTGCGTGTCCAGACTTTGAGACTTTTTTATTTTTGTAACTGGGAGAGCGAACATTTGTTGGCTGGTGCCTTCAGAGGGAGACTTCCCTACTTCCGCGTGGGTGTGCCAAATACGAATTGATAATAAAGTGTATAGAGCAGTGTATGRTATAGATTTTATAGATTGTTATATAATGTTAACAAGAAGATTCAGTGGTTTCCACACTCTAGTCTATTTGTGTTAAGACACGATCACACATACTCATTGTGTAACATAACAAATAAAAATACTGCAAAATTTACCCTTTCCGCAAAATTCAAACAACTGTCATTTTTTTGACTACAAGAGTCCAAATCAAACGCCTCAAGAGTGCTGTGACAATTTCACGTATGTCTTGCCTACACTGTTACGTTTAGTGAAATGACATTTTTTATGTTATGTAGGTACAGTCGAACAAAATGAAAATGACAAGATAAATTCCTTTAGGGGCCGGTTTACACAAAGCGAAATAAAAATTTAATTCAGAATTAAACTATTTGAATTAAGTTGCCATTTATTTTGCATTGACAAAGGTCAAGTTAAATGAAAATGTAATTTTTTTAGTTAAAAATTTAACAAACCATTTCTTAAAGAAAATTATGCATTAATTAAACATTGACAAAAAAACAAATCACTATTTAATATTTTTTTAACTGTTTTTCAATTTATAAATCAATTAAAATACAAAGTGATCCACAGTGACTGTATATGTTGGCAATCCTGACAGTTTATCAAAAAAATGTATTACATTAATAATAATTAGTTTTTTTGTAAATTTCATCTTATTAATGCATAATTTTCTTTGAAAAATGGTTTTTGTTAAATTGTGTATTTATAAAACTAAACATTTTTATTTATTTAAAAGTGCAGAACTAAAATATTTGAAATAATTTTACCGTTTTCTTCTTGGTTTAATTAAATAAGTAATTTTGATTTGTTTTCAATGATAATTACAAAACTAATAGAAAACTTAGGGCCGGTTTACAGAACGTGTTAATCGCAATTATATTTTAATTCGCGATTAACTTGACGTTTGTCAATGCAAAATAAATGGCAACTTAATTCGAATTAGCTTAATTCTAAACTAAATTTTCATTTCGCTTTATGCTCTAAGAATTAACCACTCGCGGTAAAGGCACACGTAAAATTAAACCTTCTTCTCGCAAATAAACTCATTGTTGTTTTACATAAAATCAAGTTTAAAATGGAGAAAGCCTATTTCGTTCAAAAATTACGGTATTTAATTTTATTTTGAAAAAACAGTTAAAAAAATATTAAGTTATAATGATGTTTTTTTGTCAATGTCATTATTAATGAATAATTTTCTTTAAGAAATGTATTGTTAAATTTTTCATTAAAAAAATTCAATGTTTCCATTTAATTCATTTGACGTGTCAATGCAAAATAAATGGCAACTTAATTCGAATTAGTTTACTTCTGAATCAAATTTTCATTTCGRTTTCTGTAAACCGGCTTCTAAAMGAATTTATCTTGAAACTACGTCAAGTTTGCAATCCGATAATTTTATTGGTTTATTGAGGCGTCATTTTCATTTTGTTCGACTGTACAGTAGGAAGTACATCTCAACTACCGACAAAATTTAATTTACACAAAAATGAGTTTTAATTAATATTTAACGAAAAAAATTTGACAGATAACTGARACATGTTGACGTTATTATTCCCGACATACGTCCATGAAACTGTCATAGCCCTCTCACGTTTTATTCAGACACTTGTCACCTTTTTATTGTAATGTCAAATGTAACAAATAATAATAAAATGTTGTGTTGAAACAAGACTAATCATTCGTGAAATCGAACGGTTCAAAATCTGTGCGCAGTCTCTGAACGAGAATTTCTTCCTCTTCCTTCTGCAAAATGCAGGTTCGCCAATCGGACTTTAGGGGACAGTTGAGAATCGGGCCGGTCACTAGAACCTCTCTTGCGAAATTAATAGGGAAGTTACCCTTGATTTTCGTGTACAAGACAGCCCCATCTGGGAGCTCCACAGTGAAGTAGGGGACATTGGCTTGGAGGACTTGATCCAGCCGAGTGTTAGAATCCAACACTTCCAAGGTAAAACCATGAGCGCCAGCTTCGCCCTAATAAAAWTTAYTAAAAACAAACCCAAACGTAATTTATACACACAATAAAAATCTCCTTCAACTCCTTTGCTGCCTCCTTGGACACAGGCACAACCTGCAATTGCATATGCGAAGTCTTGTAATTCCGRTCAAAAAACACCGCAACTTTGCCATTGCGGTCGTAAAACTTCCGCAAGGCTTCCTTAAACTTGTCGATTTCTTGRGTCACTTCCGGGGGCTGCCCGAGACTATTCTGGTAGTGCTGAATGGGGCAAATTAAAAAGTGCTCATCAACGATACCTCCTGAAACTTACAAATAACAACARCAGGTGGCACACTGCACAATTTTACCTTTAGCCAAAGCCAAATAAGTTGAGTTGGCAACAGTTATTATCAAATGTTTTTCAACAGACTTGCTCGCAAGACAAAACCAACATTTACTTTGGTCGAARACAATTTTTTGTTTTTTTGTTCTCGGCCCACTCTCAATWGTTTCGACAGTCGCACTCGTGTCGTAGAAATACTGGCATGGCGTAACTGATTTTCTTTTATTATTAAAAACTAGAAAAAAATTACWTATTATACAAGTGACAAAAAAATCTGTTGGCGACACTGAATTATTCTAGTCTAGATATTAAATTTGTTTCAACTATCCCAGTGGCCGCTCCTCAAAAATGAATAACTAGTGTTGCCATCTCACAAAAATAAAATTCACCAGATCCGAGTCAAAAAGTTGCCAAAATTACCCTAATAGTGTCGAATTTTACGTTTATTTTCCGTAAACTAAATAAATATTCGTAAATAAAAGACAATTTAGTGACTTGGTAAGGCAAAATCTCAAGTTTTCAATTTCAAATTCTGATTAAACTCTTGAAAAAAGCGAAAATGACATAATTTTTGGCCTAATTCTGTTTTTTGGCTTGTTTTTTTACAAAATTCTGCAAAATAATTGCGTTTCTAGCTTAAAAACGTGTTTAAACGCTCAAGAAACGCAAAAATAATATAATTTTAGATTTAATTTGTTGATTTTTTGTTAGTTTTAACAAAATCTCGTAAAAAAAGTATTTCAATTGATTTGATTTTTTTTTGACAAAATTTGGCGAAATAATTAAGTTTCTAGAAAAAACATTTTTCGTTTCCAAAAAAAAAACTGTTAGACGGCCATGTTAGCCAAGTTTGAGTTTGAGCCAGTGTTGCCAAAGTAAGATTTTAAATTTGATGCCAACTTGAGACACTGAATTATTCTAGTTTAGATATCAAATTTGTTTCAACTATCCCAGTGGCCGCTCCGCAAAAATAAATAACTGGTGTTGCCATCTCACAAAAATAAAATTCACCAGATTGAAAGATTACGATTTAAATTAAATCTTTCCAATAGTGTCGAAAGTTTAGATTTATTTTCCGTAAACTAAATAAATATCCGTAAAAAAAGGACAATTTAGTGACTTGGTAAAACAAAATCTCAAGTTTTCAACTTAAAATTCCGATTAAACTCTTGAAAAAAGCAAAAATGACATAATTTTCGACCTAATTCTGTGTTTTTTTGGCTTGTTTTTTACAAAATTCTGCAAAATAATATAATTTTAGATTTAATTTGTTGATTTTTGTTTGTTTTAACAAAATCTCGTAACAAAAACTAATTTCAATTAATTTGATTTTTTTTGAGAAAATTTGGCGAAATAATTAAGTTTCTAGTTGAAAAAACCTTTTTCGTTTACAAAAAATCACTGTTAGACTTAGAATTTGAGTCAGTGTTGCCAAAGTAAGATTTTAAATTTGATGCCAACTTGAGAACAAAAATTTGTAACGTTGAAATACCCACTTTTTCGCTCTAGTTCCGCAAAATCGAACGGACACTCAGTCTCATCTGTTGTTTTTTGCAATAAATCCTTAATTTTCATTTTATTCAAAGGCGTCAAACTTAGTGCATACACCCACTTTTCTTTGTTAGGATTCTTTACCCTTGCGAGCCCCACAAATCGCGTAACTAGATTTAAAGTGGTATCGTGGTCGCCCAAATTGGGGGCCCTAAAGGGCGAACGTTCGTAGTAGACACCTTCGAGCCCACAAACGTGATATCGGGGCTTCAATTTCATTACCAACCAACTCACAAAGTCTGTTGTTTTATTTACAGTTAAAGACACCTGAAACAATTGTTTAGTACAGAATGGGGTTAATTTACGTGGGGGTACTTGTTTGAGGTCATTTTTGGTGATGTCAGTGGGCCATTGTGACGTCAAAAGGATATCCACTCCCCTGAAACAGGGGTTTCCCCTGACGCACATACTGTACAATTCTGCGATATCTTCGCTTGTGTATTCGTAACTGCTGGATTGTGTACCCGCAAGCCCACTAATGTAGGCGATTCTGAACCCCTTGATGTCCATGTATAGCCCCTTTGAGCGCAGATAAAACACGTTCTCACACAATTCAAATGCGTCATCTTTTGGGTAGAATTTGGCCTGGTCGGGGCTATTGGGCCCCAAAATGTACGTAGCAATTGGTACTAAAACAACAAAAGTCAAAAATTGTGCAAAGATAAACCAAAACTTACCCTTTTTCTCCCCCCTTAGGTAAGGCTCAAACTCCTTATTGTTGATCCCGAAAAAATTACCCACGCAAAAAAGACTCTCAAATTTTCCTTGTTTTTCATTAATTTTCGCAATTCGAGAYAAAAGCGCCTCAAATTGTCCCTCGACGTCCCCACAAAACAATCTGGAAATTAACACTCTCTAATTTAAATCTAGCACACTTTGGAAAACAACAGAAAGTGGTTGGCGTCCCAGCTAAACAAGTGGAAGATTTGTGCCAGTTTTAYAGGAATTTCACCCGATTTCAAGGTAACCACACTTACATTTTTTCCTTGTTGGCCATTGTYACGTTTTTGACGATTTTGGGGTATTTTCAACCCGAAATTGGGGCAAAATCTCACACCCGGATCTCCCCAAATGTCACACTTTCAAATTGCAGTAATGCAAAACGGCGAATTCGCCCCTAATATCGTACTAAACCACAACTTTATACAGTTTTTAAAACAAAACCCGATTTTATTTACATTAACATAAAAAAGTCGCGTAGTTATGAAAAAGGTTATGTTTTGGTTTCAAGCCGAGATGCAAACCCACATCGGCAGAACTAGTCTTGTAGCGCCATATTTGAATTTTGAAAAAGCAAAACACAATTTGAATTGATCTGGGCTATTAGGCCCCAAAATATACGTCGCAATTGGTACAAAAACAACAATTATAGTTGAAATTTAGCAAAAATAATAAGGCTCAAACTCGTCACTTACACCGAAAAAAATAATTCCAACGCAAAAAAGACAATCAAATTTTCCTTATTTTTCACAAATTTCCTCAACTTTCGTAAAAACTGTCTCAAACTGTCTCTCGACGTCCCCACAAAACAATCTGGAAATTTCAATCAAGCACACTTTGGAAAATAACTGAGTAGTTTGGGTCCTAGCTAAACAAGTGGAAGATTTTCTAGTACAAGTTTTAGAAGAATTTAGTCCTGTTTTAAGGTAATTACACTCATATTTTTTGTTGGGAGACCATTGTAACGTTTTTTGACGATTTAGGTATGTTTAAAAATGAAATTTGGGCAAAAAATCACGACCGAATTTTCCAAATGTCATATTTTGAAATCAAAATAAAACGATAAATTCGCGAGTAATATTACATTTACCTACTATTTTAACAAAATATTCAAAACTAAACCCAAACTTATCCACATAACCCCCTTAAATCTGTATTAGAACAATTTGGTTATATTTTGGAATTGGAAGCGGAGACTCAAACCTCCAATACAGGAAAATGCCTAGGATATGTTTTCTGTTTAGCAAAACTTTGAGATTATTGTAAACTAGAATTAATTGTTCTTGCTTTGCGCTTTTGAATTTATTTCTTGCACTTTTGGAACGTTTTTGTACTTTTTTGTAATTCTCTTGAACCCCCAAGAGTGCAAATGGTTCAATTTTAAAGTTTTTAATTTTTTCGATTTTTGTTGAAATTTTTAGCAATTTTCGGTAGGACCTGGAGTGGTTTATTGCTAATAACTTCGGAATTATTGACACTAGTTTTTTTTGTTTGGTAGCGTTAGAAAGCAAATTCAATTTTTTTATCATATAAAAAAAGATAATTGCCCTAAGTTAAATACATGGTGCGCCAGAACTCACGCCCCAGAGAAAATTTTCAAGTAAGGTAAGATACCAGGAACATGAAAAAAAAAGTTCTATCTGTCAAAAAATTTTGACATTTATTTTTTGACATTTGAKATTTTTTTTATATCTATTTAATATACTGATGATCTTGTATATGTTTTTTTTACAATTATTTACTAAAGGGACAAAAATTTTACCAATAAAAGCCACAACTAACATTGAAAAGAGTTACAATTTAGGATACAGCTTCCTTGTTTCCTCTCTTAATAGCCTATAGCAAAAAAACTTAAAAAAAAATTATTTTCTAACAGAAATAAATAGAGTGCAAACTTTAAACCGTCATAACTTCAAAATTTTTATAGATAAAATTTTTTAAATATTTTTTCCATGTTCTTGGTATCTTACCTGGCATTTTTGGCATTTTGCGCGAGTTCTGGCGCACCCTGTAGTTATCGAGGAAATTGCTGGTAAAGTCAAAAATATCCAAAATATTAATTCAACTACAACTTCTAAACGATCAAGAATTTTGCAGTTTTCTCGACGTCCGAAACAGTTTTGCCGCAATTTACAAAATAAAAAAAACAAAAATTTGTGAATCTTCTGAAGCTATAACAACATTGAAAATAATGTACTTTTTATTTATTAATTATGAAACCTTTGAGATTACAATAAACTAAAATTATTAATTAATTATTCTTGCTTTTTTGTGCTTTCGGATTGTCCCACTTTAGTTTAATCGACTCCCACTTTTCGCAGACCTTGTTGTTGAAAACATAACTCGAAGGGCAGTAAAGCGGAACTGAGAAATTTTTCGTAACGCAATAATAAAACTTGCTACAATCAAACATATCCACTGCGTAGCTATCATCCGTCGCACAATTTGGTCCAGATTCTTTGCATTTTTGTCCTTTGAGGCATTTCAGCTCTTTGCGACTAAAAACCGTCTCTGGGGGACACATTTTGATGGTCAAATCGATTAAACTGCCATTGACGGTACATTCGTAGTATTTTTGGCAATTATCCGGGACGAAAAACCGGCCTGGGTTTGTGCAATACTTTTTGGGTCCACTGTTTGAGTTTGAACATTCTGGTACGTTTTCAGCAAGGTCGCATATGTTTTTTTGGGCATTGAATTTGAGACATTTGGGACAAGTGTAGATTTTCGGGAGGAGTTTTTTGCATTGGCTGTCGAAATAGCAAACGTAGTATTTTTTGCAGTTTTGTTTGAAGCGGAATGTGCCTTCTTTGGAACACGAAGGGCCTTTGGGCTTGCAAGGGTCAACGTCGCGTTTTTTTCGATTTTTTGATTCGCTCGAGGGGCCTTTTTTGTTGTAGATTTGTGTAAAGTTTGTTTTTTCTATTTTTTGCATTGCTTTGTTCATAGTGTTTAGAAAAGAAGTGACTTCTGGCGATTTCGACGAATTTTCAGTGCTAGTTGAATTTTCATTTTTTCCTGTAGATGATTCAGTAGTAATTGATTCTTTAGTCTCAGTTTTTGTGGTATCAAAATCACTGAATTCAGTAGTTTCAATTTCATTAATTGTTGTTGTTGTCGAAAGCATCTGTAAAACGTTTTTGAATTTTCTTATTTGGTTCAAGAATTTTTACCTCTGTTGTTTCTTCATATTTACTACCCTCGGTACTGCTCGATGTGCTTTTATTATTTACTGCGATTTTCTTACAACTAGCTTGTGAAAAGAATATTAAAAGCAATCCAAATTTAATTTTTACGTTCATCGTGTATAAAAAATTCAACAACTTATTAAATCACCACACTCTTACTATACTATTAGTTTAAGTATTACTGAAAAGGCGTTTTCGGTCAGGAAACGTAATTTAACACATTGTTCTTATCGCACGTTTTTGAATTAGTGGAAATTGTTACAAAAAGTGTGCTATTTTGACGATGCTGATAGACTGGACTTCCTGTATTTTGGGTGATGTTTTTTAAAGTATTTTTTCATTTATTATTATTTTATTGCATATCTATTTACACATAAAAAAGTAATGTAATTGAAATAAAAATTTTCATTTTTTTGAATAAAAAACGATCGATATAAAGAGCCTAATTTATTAATTTTAAACCTAGTTTGTTACTTAACAATAGAAAGTGCTTGTAGCGAGTGTTAAATTCGACGAACTTAACTAGAGAAAAGTGCGTACGTGCTTGAGAAACAGTAAAGTCGGCCTTGATATGGCATCGGCCATAGGCAGGTAGATAAAAAGGTACAAAAAAAAATCGCGCAAATTTGTGTAGTGAAACTACACTCACGCTGCGATCACAATAGTTTGACATGAGCGGCATTTGGAGCTGGTTGTCGGCAGTGAATTTATTGCAACACGAGTATTTTTAAAATAATGCACATTAAACAGTTATTTGGGCTTAAAATAATTAAACCTACATTTAAATTAGAAATCAATCGGTGTTCGCAGTACCCACTCGTGCTTTTTTTCTCTCAATAAATACAAAATTTCCTTAACCTAACGGAACGTGGGGACCGCGAACACATTCTCTAGCATTAAAACCTATTAAATTTGCTGGCCGGGAGATTTCCGTCGTTTTTGCGACACCGCGATACTCCTGAGACTCCTCGATCGTTCGAAAAGTGAAGGGTCGGTGTAGATTGGTTCGCTGGGGTCCTCGAAGGGGCCCCCAGGTGCAGGACCGGGACACTCGATGTCGTCTTTAGGCAGACTTGGGAAATTCCGAGAGCGACCGAAACCGATGAATTGCTTCTGAAGACCTGTTCCAAAAATCGAGATTCCGCTAGAAAGACCGCTACTTCTGGTGTTGGGATACGAAGAGGAAATGTTGGAAGAGGCCCGATCTGCGAGTATGTTTTTCTTCATAACGATCCAATATTTTCGATAAGCGAGACCAGAAACTAGGGATATGGTCAAAAGGATGGCAATTAGGGCGAAAACTGCGCTGACTAATCCATGGTACTCTCCAGAGGTCAAGCAGACGGTCTCCGGGGCCGGGTCTGCACGTCGAGCCTCTTGTTGCAACTCTTCACGGGAATCAAAAACCTGAAAAAWAAACAAATATCATCAAGTTAGTAACTGGTTATTTCAGTTTACTTCAATCATCTCGCGAACAAACTCCGGACTTTCGGATTCTTTCTCTTCGGAAGTATCGTCAATGGTGTCAATTTTAGTAGTTTCAAGGAACGACACAGTTGTGTCATTGGTGACGGTTGTGTTAGTTTCAATATCTTCGGCCGAAATGGTGTTGTTGCTTTCTAGAAGTAGAGTTTCGTTAATTGATCTTCGTTTTCTTCCAAACGACGGTTCGGATCTTCCAGTTCCAGTTTGACAGTAAGCCGGTTGACAACCTTCTCTACAAGTGCGTACTGTGGCTTCAAAAACGAGGAAATTTGATTCGGGGATTTTGAAGGCGTTAAATCGGGCTTCAAGACTGTCACCGCTTCGACCACGGTCCAGTTCAGGGAAAACAAAACTGTCGACTGGACATCTAAAAACAAAAATGCAGAAGTTGAAGGTTACCAAGAATAGATTTGTACCCAAATCGATCAATCAGTTGGACTGATCTTCCAGAATAAGGATCCCTCGCTACCACATTTGTTGCAAAAATATCTGTGATGTAATTGTAACCGTCTTGGGCTTCCAACCTGAAGGTGAGCGGATCTCCAACAGCAATGGTAGTTGTTGGTCTTCCTTGATACAAAATCATTAAACGCACTTTGGAGCTGAGGGTGTTTTCCGCTGGGAGATATTCGATCGGTATTGGACTTCCAGATCTGGAATTTTTATTTTAGTTTTGGTTTTTTGTAACGTCAATTTTTACCCCGCTCCAATAAATCCAGACGAAACTACGGCTTCACCCGGTCCTCGGAACAAACAAGTCAAATTGAATCGTTTGTCACGTCCAGTTTGGACGAAATCGCTGAATTGCACCACCACGATATTGGTCATGGTATCGCCGTACCTTTGAGTACCACATTCTGGATAGCCTTGGGCACCACTGATTCGTAAAACGTTGACAGTACCGCCGTTTCCGCGGAAGAAACATCGATCGTAAAAACCGTAGGTGTATATCCTTCCGTAGAAACCTTCAGGTGTTCGGAGGGTAAATTCCATTCCGTCTTCGTTACACACTTGACTTACTAGACGAGAAATAAAAAATGGTGCGAATTATAAATAGTTTATTAATTGTCGATTACAATTTAAGTTATTTACCGTCGAGACAATCGCCGTCTACGCCCTGTCGACTAATCGAACGTTCGTAAAAGTCGTAGTTTCCCGTGTTGTCGAAGAATCTCCGATTGTTTGCTTCTAAATCTCTGGAATCGCGATCGCTGAGTTCGCAATTGTCGCGATCATTTTCACGGCCTATAGCATCCCTGTAGTTGAACGATCGGCATATGAAATCTCTCATTTCTGAACATTCTCGTTGACATTGACTCAATGATGGAACATTCATGAATTTTCTGACAAATTCACGTCGAAGTCTTTGCCGACTTCCTACTTGTTTGAAACTGTCACCTTCGTCACATCGCGAACTATAAGGTCTATTTGGACCAATTCCACCAAAGGTGTCATAGATTGGTCCATCTGGACCTGGTGAAATTGGACGTCGATTAGGTTTTTCGTCGTACGGTGGGCGAGGCTCATAGGGMGGTCTTGGTTCATAGGGGGGTCTTGGTTCGTATACAGGTCTTCCGCCATCAACGGGGCGACCAGGTCTGCGATCTGGCCGGAAGAACCATCTATTYCCTCCATCACGTTCGTCTCCGTAGTAGCTGTGGCCCCCATATCGGTTACCGTAACGATCGTCGTATTTGCCACCGTATTTGGGACCACTCCAATATCTGTCTCCTCCATAACGGCCCCCTCCTCCATACTTGGAGCCTCCGTAATAATAGTCTGACTCGCCGTATCTACCATTGAGGCCACCATACCGATCACCATATCTGTCTCCATATTTATCAGGGTATCTATCTCCATATTTATCAGGGTATCTATCTCCATATTTGTCAGGATATCTGTCACCATATTTGTCAGGATATCTATCACCATATTTGTCGGGATATCTGTCACCGTATCTATCTCCATATTTTTCTGGGTATCGGCTCGGGTATTTACTAGGGTAACCTCCACTCGACGATGGAGGATAATAGGGATACCTATCACGATCTCCGGGAGGGTATCTCCCGGGATATCTATCACRACCTGGAGGTCCGATCGGGTACCGCGTCCCTGAATCAGGGTAACTGTCCACTGGTCGTGGAGGAGGATACCTGTCATCTCCCGAAGGATACAAATCGCCTCCCGGTGGTCGGCGATCATCCGGATACCGATCATATGGTGGTCGTCCTGGACGATCATACCAATCACRTCCTCCACTACTTGGAGGATACCGACTTGGGGGATATCGGCCGCCACCTACCGGTGGATACCGACCTCCTCCCGGCCGATACCGATCACCACCACCTCCTCCTCCTCCTCCAGGATATCCTTCACCAGGTCTTTGACTCTCGTCTCCTCCAACTATCAAACATTAGAGAATTTTCGCATGTAGAGAGAGAAATTATTTACTTACGCATCAAATTTTCGTAATAGTCATAGTCGGCGTCGTATATAATTCTCATTCCGTCTTTTTGACTGAATTTCGTCAAGCGACAAATTCGATGTCTCTCACTGTATTCCGCCGATTTGCATTGGAAGCTCGGTTGTCGTAAACATTCATCCAAGCATTCGCTTAAAGAACGTCCGGAAATTTCCGAATGGTGTTCGCCGCCAAGTCGACTATTTCTATATCTTTGGAAAGCAGTATCGGGTTTTTTGCCACTGAAGAGGTGAGAAGTGGCATGGTTGTCGGGATATTCGGAACCGCGAGCTGAAATTGGTAAAGTGTCTAATTTCAGTTGGAGTCAAAGAAAACGAAGTTGGAGACACTCACGACTGTCCAAACAGGCAAAATCGTAGAAGTTGTGTGTGGGGCTGCTAGCAAGTCCGATTTCTTCTTTCTGCGAAATTGAGTCTTCTTCTGATAGAGTACACACTTTTGTCATTTCGTCGTATTCGATAGAGCGACAGAAATATTTCTCGGCGTGGACACACATCGACTGGCATTCTTCTAAAGTTAGGTTTGTGAAGAGATCGACTTCAAAGGGGCCACCTAGTCGTTTATTTTCTTCTTTGATGAAGACGGCCAAACCGTCACATCTTCGATCGGCTGAAATTTTGATCGTATTTCTTGTATTTGATTAAATWAAAGAATTACCATTGAGACAAGTGTTTTCTAAATAGTCTGAATTGGGGTCGTCTTTTAACAATTCGGGATGGGTTCGTCGAGTGAATCGACTCAAAGTGCACGTCCGCATAGCCGGATCAAAAGTAGCAGAACGGCAAACAAAACTAAACTCATTCAAACATTTGTCTTCGCATTCACTCCGATTAGTCGCCATTACTTCTTTAAGGTCTGCATCGGGGAGTTTTAGTTTTTTGCGAGGGTGTCTTTCGAAGATGTAGAGTCTGTTGGGGCAATCTCTATCGATTCTATTGGCTATAAACATATTTTTAGTGTTTGAAGTGAAATTTTTGAAAACGTACAAGTTAGACAAACTTCCGTAAAGTGGACACTATTGGGGACCAACATCAAACTTCCAATTCCTTCAGGTCTTGCTTGCTCCGCTGTGAGATAACATGTAGATTCTTCGTATTCTGGTCCCCCATTATACGTCGCTATTCTACTTCCTGGTTGGAAATCAAACGAAGTACAAGTCCGGACGATGTTATTTGAGGCTCTATCAGTCAGACAAAGTTGTTCACATTTTTCCAAAACCTTAAATGGAGGTGCCGTATCTCTAACTACATCGTCGTCGAATCCTTGGAGTTGTATATTGGGGAGTCTTTCATACATTACTCTTCCATTCATAGATCCAGAGCCGCAAGATGTTTGGGCTGGAAAGGTACCAAGTGAGTGAGAAAAAAAAACGATGATGGGACACACCTTTCGTCATCATTTTCAAAACCGTGAGAACTGTAATCGCGTGCACCATGCTGGGAACGTACGGATAACTTTTCATTTTGATCTTCTATGGCAATTCGGTGTTGACTATCTGGACATACTTTTCTTTCTGTGAACAAATTGACCATTGATCGATGTATTGATCATTTTTGGTGGGGATCACAATAGGACAATAAAAACAATAAATTCGGACAAAGAGAAATTGGATGCATCGGTTCCGTTCTTCCGGATTCCCACGTCCCAAATCGGGTCAGTACGGTGGGAAGATGATTTTGGTCGGAAGATTTCGGGATTGCCTAGTCTATGGTGCCATTTAAAGTTTRGCGTGCTGGTGCAACATATTCGGACACAAAGAAGCAGGAAGTTGACATCCTGAACAAAATAAGCTCATGGTGTACGGTCTATCTGGCCATCGGTCACGGTGGAACCAACCGGAACAATCAATGACACATTCCTCGCAGATTTGCTCAGTTTTTGAGCAAGTCTTGAGGAAGTCAAAAATTGASCAAAATTCAACTTTTTGCTTCTACGAGTACCTTGAAAGGTTTTGAACATGCCGCTCATGGTATTGGGTGCAATTTGCATACCATCTGGGTCAGGGGAGGGTCTTTAACGCCCTTGCTTATTATAAACGTTATGTCATATWAAGTGCTACGACCTTGCATGTTTATGAACCGTATCGTGTTTATCATGTCAAACGGTCTTCTAATTACCGAATGCAATTGATTATTATACATTTTACGGCATAATTTTGTAAAATATGTAAGGACAAATGGGGAAAAAAGGTTATTCCTCTACATAACGGTAGACAGCAGGATGAGTGTTTTTATTTGTTCGTACATCACTGGCATTGAATCTAAATTTACATTGTATGGAATGGCGATGATGAAACAATTGAATTTATTTATGTTTTTACCTTTTTTTCCAGATGTCTTTGTCTAAAACGATTGCAAGTCGGCTTTTAAGACAATTTTCGAAAACTTTGAGTGTCAAGAATCGAAACATCAGTTGGCGTATACATGATGATGATCTCACTTGCAGGTAAGAATTTGATTGGTGGAAAAAGGAAATTATAATAATTATAGTTTTTCTATAATAAAGTTTAAGCGTGATTACGTAAGTGATGCAGAGATTGTATCAAGTAGAATATTTTAATAGAATAAACGTGAGTTTATCGCAATTTTTTATTCTATTATCACGTTAAACAAGTTTTGATTTGAACTTGCTCTGATGAATTTAAATGTAAATGACTCTAGGCTTGGTTTTATTTTCGTTAAATAATGCCTTGRCATTTTAGAAAGATTGAAGAAAATTTCTTAGAGAGAAAATGGTAATTTTGTTGCTGCTTTATTTTACTACAATTACTAAGCGTTTTATTTAATTTTAAAATCAAAGCTTATTTGCTATATCTTAGACTATGGCTTCTTTTCTTTATTTGTAGAATTTGTATTAAATATTTTGTTTATTTTTTCTTATTCTCCACTGCTCAAACTTGTTAATTGAGCATCATACACTATAAGCGAATACATTGTGTTCTCCAAAACGGGAATAAAGTGACGCTTTATTTCCTCGTTTTTGAATAATAATCTGGTATGTACAGGGTACTGCATTTTGGATGTCCAAATAGGGAATCTCCGAAACTAAGAGGTTTAGCTAAAAACGAGTAATACATTCTGGGGCTCATTTTTTGAGAAAATAATATTGGTTAAAACCGCATCCCATTATCGTCTTTTGTTTTCGACTTATAGACAAAAATTGACATTTTAGCAAAATCTAAAAAAATTCATATCTTCGTTATTATAGAAGTCACAGATTTGAAATAAGGACATTATACAGGCACTTTTTTACGTAGAATTTAATGATGTAGTTAACTTTTTTTTTCAGTTGTTTGTTTAGCCGTAATAAAATAAACTTGTATTTTTTTAAATGGGAATCATAGATGGCTATGTCATTTTTAAAAATCTTGTTTTTTTCTTATCTAAAAAATATATATTTGTAACAAATTATTATAAMACATTTTTAGCAAAAAATTATCTTTGATTTTTGTTCGCAGTTGGCCATGAAAAAATGTTGCATCTTCAACTAAACGGATTTAAACTATATTATATTCAACCAGTGTCACTAATGAAAGAGTTTTCTAAGTACATACTAAGAAATGAAAAAAATGCAAAATAAATCGTAAATCAACTTATTGGCGACTAATAACATTTCTTTGTTTTTAAACAAGCAAACATTACCATTGCAACTTCTAGTGATACATAGAGTGTTGTAAAAAAAGCTGCTTTAATTCTTCAATAAAAAATATTTTATATGACACAAAAATGACGATATGGCTATTCAAATACCCAAATTCCGTCTATGTGAAACGTTATCCTACCTCCATTAGATCATCAAAAAAATGTTTTTTCTAATTGTGTTGACTGTTGACACATTTGTTTTTCCTATTTTTGGATTTTTTAAAAATATGTAATAATTTTGTTCTGAAGCGCTCGCATATTTGTTCAATGCTTCTACCGTAGCGTATTTTTTTAATTTTTATAATTTTATATATTTTTTCATCTATTTTACAGTTCACAAAACTCTTATTGATTATTATTTACACATTTGGAGTGAAATAGTTTTTCCATGGCCAACTATTATCAAATAAAATATGTATTTCATTTTTTTAAATATAGTTATAAAAAAATATTCTGTTACAAATTTATATTTTTTAGATCAGAAAAAAATAAGCTTTTCGAAATTGCCATAGCCGCCTATGATTTCTATTTAAAAAAATTAAAGTTTATCTTATTACGGCTAAACTAATAACTGAAAAAAATTGTTTAAATTCCTCGTAAAAAAGTGCCTGTATAATGTCTTTATTTCAAATCTGTATCTTCTATAACAACGAAGATATGAATTTTTTTAGATTTCGCCAAAATGTCAACTTTTGTCTGTAAGTCGAAAACAAAAGACGATAGCGGGATGCGGTTTTAACCAATATTATTTTCTTAAAAAATTAGCCCCAGAATGTATCACTCGTTTTTGGCTAAACCTCTTAGTTTCGGAGATTCCCCATTCGGACATCCAAAATGCAGCACCCTGTACATACTTCATTCATTCCGTCGGAAATAAAATAAATGAAATACCGATTTTTACTCTTAAAATTGCAATTGAATGAAATTAATATTTTGACAAATTATACCAGGTGAATAAAAAGTATGGAACCAAACGTTTTTTACTTAAGCTATTTATTTTTTGAAAAAACTAATTGATGAATGATAAATTATTGTAAAAATGTGATGTTTTATCAAGAATAAAATTTTTCGATTTTTTTTTTGAGTTCTAAAAAATATATTTTTTTAAATGGCAACCCACTATAACACAATTTTTTTCATGAAGGTTATGATCTAAGGATTACAACTATTTACTTTATACCTATTTAATAAAAAAATTCTTACATAAATTGCAATTTTGACCAAAAAAAATKGCAAAAACTTAAGATAATTTCGTTCTTAAAATGCGATCACATTTTTTGGAGGCAAATGATTAAAAAAACCGCTTAGTKATTTTCTTATGTTATTCAGTTAATCTGTTTGGAGGAAACTTTTGTATGCATCTCTAAAATAATATGAATTATTTTACATTTTGGGCAATTTTTTACTTCTACAATCAGTTTAAAATTTTTAATAAAAATCTTTGTTGAAGTTTTTTTTTGTACGTACAATATTGTAAATCTAACACATTATCTTATAATTCTCTTATCATCTTTATATTGTTAATGTTATTTTCTAGTTTGTTTCAATGTTTACTTGAATTTTAATACCTGACGAATACATATTTACTTTTTTTAAATAAGATTATGTATTTTGGACAGAAAAAAATATGAACTTATCTGCATTACAAAATAAGTTTTTTTCCACAATAACTATAAATAATTTGTTTTCGAAGATTGTAAAAACGTTAAAATTTGGTACGAGTAATCTTGCTTGTTTCATATCAGTTCTTAAATAAATTAAATAAACAGAACTTCAAGTGTTAATTTTTCTATCAATGTTCTGTATCAAATGGTACCAATAAATAACTCGCGTCGATCATTGACGCAATTGATTTGATACAAATTAAAGTTGAATTTTATTATCAGATGGTCACAATCAACAAATTTTGTGTATATTAGAACGCATCCGCGGAAATCATGTTTTACAACAATTTGCACACTTAAATCACGCAACTTATCTAAAAATAATTGTGTTTTTGTCAATACATTAGCAACCGGGATGAAAAATATTTTTTTGTCAATTCTTGTATCTATTGTTTTGACGACCTCGTCCCAAATTTGTATTTTTTGAGCAATCATCGTAAATACACACTATGGGCGTTCCTCGTCGAAATTGCTCAACATGTTAGAGGTCGAATTTTTCCAGAAGCCTTGAACGTGTGTTAAATGATGTCGAACCCGTTTTATCCCATCCCTTGTTCCTTTCAGATATGAGTGCTTCTTCAGTCGTGAAGACATAGACGGTTGGGATATACGACAAGGGATGAACGATCTTTTGGGGTATGATGCGATACCAGAACCACCGGTTATAATAGCAGCCCTTCATGCATGCCGAAGGGTGAACGATTATGCCATGACGGTGCGCTTCTTGGAAGCAATCAAGGATAGATGCGGGGATAAGGTCAACGAGATTTATCCCTACATTGTGCAAGAAATTGCGCCGACTTTGTGCGAGTTGGGATGCGACCTCCCGGAAACTTTGTGCTACCACAAACCGGAGTTGTTTTTGAAATCAGTTTTTGATTAAAGAGATTTGTTTAATTGTTTGTACATTTTGGTAATCGCATTTTCAAACTACTTGTTGAAGAAAAATACAAGTAAGCTTTTTGGCAAGCTTCGTGACAATTTTCAGTTTTTTTCTAACTACTTTAGAAAGCTCAACTGGTACTTAATTGAAAACCCTGGATCATTTTGATGAAAAATTAAGCTATACTCATATGAGAAAAATAGATAGTTTAACTTGTTCAGTTGATTATTGATTTATTTTTGTAAAAAATAAGTGATGGTATTGAAAGGGGAAAATTTGTTGTGCGAAAATTGGGAGAAAAAGCCAAAATTTCGTAAATTTGGCCGTGGTGGCTGAAGATACAGGGTGTCCCAGCGAGTTGAAAAAGTCCATTAGTCACTTTTAAATGGTAGAATTAAAAAAAAAATACATAAGACATTGATAGATACTAATCTAGTCCATCGCCTAACATTATTTTCAACTATACAGCGTGTCTCAAAAATAAGTTACAATACAAACTTGTGTTTTTTTTAATGAAACACCATATTTCTTAGCGTTTTTGGATGTAGATTTTTATGACAATGTTTTTAAGCTAAACTTTTATTGGTTGGATTATTAGTTTTAAAAATAAAACGGTTTTTTGACGAAAACATGCACTTTTTAAAAATTTATTACACAAAAACTAAGACATCTAGAATATTTTTTTTACTACCGCAAAAAAGAAGGTACAAGCTATAAGGTTGTAACGTTTTTTTAATGTGTTGCATTTGCAAAGATAAAAAAATTAAGGCGTTTGTTAAAAGTTCAATAACTTAAAAAATTTAAATGGAACACCCTATTTATTGTTTTTGTATTTAAAAGATTATTAAATTGCCTTTCTCAAATTATTTACTTTTAGGTGTTTATAATCAATAACTAAAAAGATATTTAACGTTAAACATTAAAAAAAAAATTATAATTGTTTCAGTAGCCAAAAAGTGCACAGTTGCACAAGAGATGGAAGAAATATCACTTAATAATCACATTTGTGTTAAACTGAATCCATTATTCTTTATTTTTACAATAAAATAATTCGAATTTCAGTATTTATAACGACTTTTATCATCTCTGGATAAATCAACGGATAAGATCCGTGGTGGATTTACTATGGTTGCCATACTATCAACAATGCTCAGATATTGATAGGCATTGTTGCTACAATTAATATTGAATGTTAAATATCTTTTCATTTATCAATTCTAGACATTAAAAGTTTGTTTTTTTAGATAGAAAATTTATCAATCTATTAGATGCAAAAATAAAAAATAGAGTGTTCCATTTGATTTTTTTAAGTTATTTAACTTTTAACAAACTTCTTAATTTATTGATCTTTACAAATGCAAAACACATTGCTACAGCTTTAAATTCTGTACTTTCTTCTATGCAGAAGTAAGAAAAAAATTGTTGTAGCTGTCTTAGTTTTTTGTAATAAATTTTTAAAAAGTTTATGTTTTTGTCAAAAAAACGTCTTATTTCTAAATCGACTAATAAAAGTGTAGCATAAAAACATTGTTTTAAAAGGCTACATCCAAAAATGCCAAGAAACATACGGTGTTTCATTTAAGTAAACACAAGTTTGTATCGTAATTTATTTTTGGGACATGCTGTATGGTTGAAAATAATTTTAAGTGATGCACTAGATTAGTATATATCAATGTCTTATACAATTTTTTTTAAATTTTACCATTTATAGGTCACTAATGGACTTTTTCAACTCGCTGGGACACCCTGTATGTGCAGTTATGTTTGAAACGAGCTCACATTGTTGAGGAGTTGTCAGTTTCACTGATGATCGTACACTAGGGCTAAGGGGGTCACTTACTAGTATCTCCTTGGTCAGTTGTAATCACTGGCACCTGCACTCACCGACTGATGGTTCGATGGGGGCAGCCACCGATGAGGCTATGGYGCCTTGGGTCCGCGCCATCCGGATGTGCCTTTGTCCCAGCTTCCGGGAAAGCATCAAATGTTCGGGTCACTGGATGGTCATTGCTCACTACCAAACACTCACACTTGTGTAATGCAAACCGATGATTTTACATATACTTTATGGATCTGTGGTGATTGCATGTCTTGTTCATGGACGAAGCAATTAATTTGGGCTATGGTCGAAAACGGTTCCACCACTTTTTCAAAAATGATCATTTTTGGTTTTCGTCGCTAAGAAATTTGTCTTGAGATGAAAGCTCGATGAATAATCATTTTTTGGTTTTTGTCTTGAGGTGAAGGCTTGATTGAGTTGGTGAGCTTAAAAATGGTGGAGTCGCCGGTTCACGTCCTAAGCAAGCAACGTATAAATTTTACGCTCTGAATGGAATGTCCTTGTTTTGGCCATAATATCTCAACATGTTGATGAACTAATTCCGAGTGATGACATGAATTTTTCATCTTTGTTCTATTTTTTAAACAGTTTTTTTGGGAACAATAATATTTCGCCYAACAACCACCAGACTGGAAAACTTTGTCGCCATTTTAATTATCTGATTTTTGGGTTTCATTTTGGCGGTTTATGGAAAAGCGTTGTCAAAATCAAACAAGTGTGATAATGCAAAATGTTACCAAATTTTACCTTGAATGCTTTTAAATTGTCGTGTAGTAAGGCGATATTTGTTATTACAACGCAATGGAGAGGATAATTGTAAGCTTATTCAATATTGTGTTACGAAAGTTAACACTTGTCGACTTCTGTTAACGTAAAATTATTGGGTTTTGTAATTTTTACGCATTTCAAGCTTTTGCGATAATAAACCAACATGTGAGGGTAATAAAATAAGACATATTTTTATTAAAATATAAAATTATATTTTTTAAGCAGCAATGTTTGTCAAACAGATTTTTACACTACTTTTTGTTTATTTTATTTTTATTTAATTCATTTTGATGAATCACACAACTGATTTATTTATTGCATTGTTTTGCAAGTTGAACTACGTACCACGAAGAAATTACACTTTTATTTGAAATGTTTTATAAATTTTGTTCGGCGTCGTTGTCTTGTTTACTCTACGATTTTTTTAATTCGCAGTTTGTTTGTTGACAAAACAGATATTTGACCTTCATTTTAGAACAGGCGTAATATTGATAAATCAAAAAAACAACATACTCGTATTATTATCTTATTTTCAAGCCCACCTTTCTTCCTTTCAAAGATATTTTCTACTCTCTACAAGTAATGAAGAAAACATTTTGATAAAAAATTATACAAGGTATTTTATTTGATAATCTATTAATAGAAGTTCTACTTAATTATCACTTGTATTTTATTTTTGATCTTATCTGTTTGTATAGTTGTTCTAATTAATTGATCAATATACATATCGCATTATTAAAATTACACTTACTCACTCGTTTCGATTATGCAATTGGATGATCAAATTTCATTTTACTGATATCATTCATTAAATTCCTGATTGTGTTCAAAACTTTCCTCTGTTTTTAATATTTTATTGTTATACTTTTATCAAATATTGTCTCTACATTTAACTCTGATATTTTTAAGGAAAGATAGGTTTTATATTCCGAGTTAAATAGAAAGAAATATGGAAATAATACATGTTGAAGGTAAGTTGGTCTGTGAATATCACTGTCATTGCCAAGGAACATTCACAGAGTGTCTAGTCAATATATCAGCCGATTAAAAAAATATAAACTTGCAGTAATTTGTGCTTTTATCGGTATAATTTCGATCATTGCAAACTAATCCAAATATCAATATTACCAGGAAAAAATGAAACTACAGTGGAACCTCGATAAATCGAACTTCTATATCTCGAAATTTCGATAAGTCGAAATGGTTGGTTTTGAGCATTTATTAATAAAAATTAATGTATTTTTTTATGTCACCCTGAAGACAAACGAATAAAATCTATATCTACATACATATGTTTTAAAATTTTGTGGTATTTTAAGAATCTATACAGGATGCGCCAGAACTCGCGCCCCAGAGAAACATTTCAAATAAGATAAGATACCAGGAACATGAAAAAAATGTTTAAAAAATTTTATCTGTCAAAAAATTTTGACATATATTTTTTTACATTTGACGTTTTGTTATGTCTATTTAATGATAGTGATGATCTTGTATATGTTTTTGTACAACTATTTAGTAAAGGTACAAAAATTTTGCCAATAAAAGCCACAAATATCATTGAACAGAGTTACAATTTAGGCTACTGCTTCCTTGTTTCCTCTTCTAATAGACTGTAGTAAAAAAACTTGGAAAATTATTTGTCCAACAGAAATACGTAGAGTCAAAGTGCAAACTTTAAATCCTCATAACTTCGAAATTTTTATAGATAAAATTTTTTTAACATTTTTTTCCATATTCCTGGTTTCTTACCTTTTTCTCTGGGGCGCGAGATCGGGCGCACCCTGTATTTCATACCATAAGAAGTTAATTTTTGTATACATTTTATAGTTTCTAAATAAAATTAACAATGTATAAAAAAGTAATATTCCGTATCTCGAAACTTCGATAACTCCAATAATTTTTTTGACAATAGGTACGTCGACTTAATGAGGTTTCACTGTAGTTTTTCCTATTTATGAAGTAATTTGTTTTCATTTGTGTTGTTTTTCGGGGATTTATCGAACAATAAATCACTCATTTTTTTCTGAATTTAAAAATGTACAGTTAATAAATAGTATATTAGTAAATTATTTCTTTCTATAATGATCAATGTCACCAGAGATCAGTTTTTTTGTACAAAATATTCAAAAAAATATACAACTTATTAGGAAACAAATAAGTGAGTGATAAATATTTCGAAACTTATAATGTATTGCTATATGTTTGATAAATATGGATGAAAAAATTAAATTGCATCATATTTTTTTATCAAATTGTTTATTTTATTTAACTATTTTTAGACAAAAATTAAGATCTTTTTTTAATAATTATTATATTTTTTAGTAAACTTTTAATTTTTTAAATAAARTGTGTAAGACACATRGAGGCAGGAATTCCAACTGGAASTTCAAACAACTTTTAAATTTAGCACATGCTCATGGAGACTCAGTAGAAAACGAATTTTTACTCTTTGTGAACCAAACCGTAACAAATAATTAAATATTGTAACACCAACAATTGTCAYATTATTACACAAATGTCGCACTAAATAAACAACTCATTCACAGACTGTTCCAGTTAAGATTTTTCGGTTAACATCTTTGTTAATTATCTGATCCTGTTATTATTCTTTGGATTTTTTTAGGTGTCTATGCACTAGGTGATAAGAATACTAGCTCAAAATAATAATTTGTTTAGTCTTAATTATGAAATCTGTTGATTAATGTAAGTCCACACACACATCGTGCACTAATAGAACAATGTAAAGCGACCTTGACTGCCATTTTCAGGTAGTTTAAATATCTCAAAGGAAATTTTATAACAAAAACCTAGTGATAGGGAATAATTTGAAAAGTGACAAGTTTTTCTTTCATTGTTAGACGAGTCACGTGTGGACCCCAATTCCCAGCCGAAAAGCTGACTCCCTGCACGTAATCCCCCAATCCCACACCAAGCCGGCCATTCACGACCCACGTGGTTCCACGTTCACGCATCGTGCAAGAGCGAGACCAGCTCCTCACTCGGCTTGTTTTCTCTTCTTCTCTGTCTCTCRGTGTTTATATGCCAAGCGGCACCTTCTTGTCAAACAGTCTCTTAGAAACAGTTGATAGAAAACGTGTCAAACGCTAGTGCAAAATGTTTACAACAATTAGAGCGACAGTCAATCGAACCAGTCGAGAGCTGATCAAATGCAAAAGACAGATCAGCAAGACCTCGACGGCCCCCAACAGCGATGCCATCTCCAGACAGCAAAAGACCGAATTGAACCTCGACCAAACCTCCAAGAATAAGTGGATTAGGTTGAACAAGCACAATAACAACAGGTAAATTTTATAGACAAATCTTGGAGAGGAGGTCGATGACTCGTCTTCGATCGAGGGCCTACGTGACTGAAATCGCGTTGCCGTCACGGCCCTTTTTTACGTTTTTGGGATGATACGGTGACCCACTCAGCGATGGTTTTGTTTATGGTAATTAGGAAAGCGGTTTCTGGTACTAGAATTTGCCAATTACAAGATTTGCAACACTTTCAAAACAAATTTTCTGCTAAATTATCAATTATCACACAGGAATATTCCATTAAGTTGACTATTTTCTAATTACACACTATTAAAGTGGATTTGATATGATATCAAAAGGCATCTGCTCATTACGTGTACAAAAAATCGTATTTACATTTAAAAATATCTTCAGTATGTTTTCTTTAAATATTTTGCTTCCTGATAATTGATGCAATTTATTACTTGATCTGCAAGACTTGTCTTTTGCTTTTCTTATTAATGAAAAACTTGTTACAGTTTGCATAATTACAGTTCGGTTCATTGAATCCTAAGATTTTTTCCGGTTTTGAAAAAAAAAGTGTTAAATAATTGCAGCCAGGTTATCCATGCAACTTGGAATTTTTCAAATTTTACTGAATATCTTATCATTTAGCTCAAAATAACTTGAGTTTGGATTAAATTGCGATGAGTCAAATGGAATTCAGGTGTGGTGATTTGCTTCGTGCGATACTCATTTGAAATTCTTTTCTTCTTATTTTAGCATTACTTTAGCATAATTATTAGCATTGTTACTTATTAAATATTAATAAAAATGAATCGTTTCGACTTTATGGAAGATCGATGGAAGTAATCGAATCTACTACTAACAACAATGATTGAAGAGTGAAAATTGAGAAGTGCTAAATGCCAAGAATAAAATTCATGATTGAAAAAAATTCTCGTTTACTGTTTACTAGGAGTGCAAAAATACAAAGCAAAATTAATGAAAATAAAAAATGTGATAATGATAGACAAATACCAACAAAAAGGCCAAGTGCTTTTGGTTTTACTTTTTTAGAAATATGAGATTATGTGCGTCTTTTTCGTATTAATATTTTTCTATCTTTGTGTAAACATCAAGGCGGAGATAACTTTTTCTAAGATAAGTCTGAAGGTTTTCTTTTCTTCGGTTYACTCTTAAAATAGATTGGTTTTGTCGTTATTATTATTTTGATAACAATAGACGCGCTTCTACACAATAAACAGCAATGTTTTCCAGACTTTTAAGTGCTGAAAAAAAAAWTAYCCAAAAATCATGCATGAAAATTATTCATCAATTTTTTGTTTTGTGCAAAATGTCAAGGTTTTAAACGAAAAGCTTATTTCTACTTTGTTTATTTTTACGATTTGGAGCAAGAAAAAAATATTTTTGTTATAAGTACCTAAAACAACGAATCTTTGGTTTTTCTGGACGAGGCAAAGCCGAGTTTGGAATTGCAAATAAGTTCGTGAAAACTTTTTAGGTTTGTGTTACAATTTTTTTTGTTAAAACTCCCAAAAATACGTTCAAATCGCATATTTTAGGTACTTGTAACTTACTCTGAAAAAGACTCATTTTTGGGACTTAAAGTAACTGTTTCGTGGAGTGAAAAAATGTAATTTTTGATGTAATTGGGTTTTTGGGCTGAAAAACGCTCTAAAACTCTCGAAAATGGCATAACTTATCTAATTGTGTGGTTTTTGTGCTAAGCTTATATTTTCGACGTAAATTTTGCAAAGTCAGCCTAATTGAGTGGTTTTGAGTCTTATTTTTCACGAAATTGTGCAAAATAATTTCCTTTCTGGTTTGAAAAGCGGAAAAAAAGTTATTTTTGACCAATCTATATTGGTTTTTGGTCTTATCTTTGAAGTAATTTTGCAAAATTACTTAAAAGCGTGTTAAAACGCTTTTTACTGTAATAGTATTTGATTGGGTGCTTTTTATGTAATTTTACAAAACCGACCTGTGGTTTTGGAGCTTTTTGTTGACGAAATTTTACATTAATTATTTCTGGGCTGAAAAACATGCTGAAAACTTGAAAAAGGGAAAAATAAAGCATTTTTTAACCTAATTAGGTAATTTTTGGGCTTATTTTTGACATAATTGTGTTTCTGGCTGAACGAGTCCGTAAAGGGTAGGGTATACACAAATATGATTTTATTTTTAACTATTCTAACAACTTGAGTTCCTGTCTAAATGTTGTTGACTATAAAGTAACAAATTTTGCATATTTTTATATTATAAAATTCATTTACATTTTGCTTTATCATCTTGTGTTGATTACAAATCTAACATTTCTATTCACATTTTATGTGATTGTCGACTTTAAAATGTTACAATTATTTTTAATGGCACAAATATTTTATTTTTTTTTTGTTCAAAGAAAAACATACTGGCTATTAAATTACTTTGAATTGGTTTAATGTTTGTGTAATACCCACACTTAATTATGTAATTGTATTCTTTACTTTCTTACACATTGTTAAGTACTACATTTATACCCACTTAATTAGTCTATTTCCGGATTAATTTTTCGCGATTTTTCGTATTAAAAAATGTAGAAACACCGTTTTCGTTTAAACAATGGGCAATTGGCGTCCATCATGGGCATGACTTTTTAAATATATCATTTTTCACGCACTGTGCCTCCGTTAGAATAAAATTGYTAGTTGCAAATAATGCGCAAAAATGTCGATCGAATGACATTGAAAATTAACTGTAAAACTCATCTGTCCTTGCGAGAACAAAGACCGCACCGAAATACATATTTTAATTAATATTCGTCAATTTTGGGAGAAAATATTAATCGAAAATATTTCACAAAACCGGAAGTTCATTGCCCTAGAATTTTTTTCCACCTGCTATTATCATGTCTTATTAATTGAGCCAATTGTTAAAAACCGTCTAGTTATCGGAAATGCCGTTAGCCCTGATTTAATTTGACATCAATCAGTGATGGTAAATTAGCACGTCGACGTGCGATTTTAACACAGACAGAACGAATAAAAGCAATGATTCATCCCATTTGCAGAGCTTTATCAACGATCCAAACAAAGGCCAAACCCCAAACTAGCAACTATACTCTAGTCTCGAAAGATGAGAGTCGCGAATTCATGGCGGTTTTTCCGGACATCGTCCGGGACTTGACCGATGCCGGAAGACAGACAGATATTCCGGAAGTCACCAAACGATATGCRAAAGCATTGCACTACAACGTGCCCAATGGAAAGAAAAACAGGGGGCTGGCGGTCATCGCCGCCTACAAAATGCTCGAAAAGGAGGAGAATCTCACCCCGGAAAACATCAGGCTGGCCAACATRRTGGGCTGGTGCGTCGAACTGGTGAGTGCAATTTCAGGAAAGAAAAAATTTCAGGCCTGAAATCTTCTTTCGTAAAAGTAGTGACACTTTCCATTTTTTCCGCCAAATTTCACAACGAATTCATTGTTTGGACAAAATCATTGGCGTAAAATAATTTACATAATTTTTTAGCCAAATGATTACGTAACATTTGATCTCGGTTTAATTTCGTTATCTGTTTACAATATTGTTCGAAAAATAAACGTCTACAATGATGAATAATAAACACATGGAACAAACGCGTTCTTATCTCGTAATCTTTCATTGTGAATATTTTTATGCCTACTTATTACAGTTCAAGTCACGATGAGGTTATCATCGTGTATTCGTTTCTTGTCCAGTTACCATGGTTACAAAAATATTTATCTTTTGTTTTTGTTTATTTGACATGAGGTGATGCGATTGGAAGGAAAATGTTAACAATGTCGAAAATATTTCAACGCAATCGCGTGGCGAATTTTTAATTTTAAATAGTAGATACTCGCGCGTGCAGWTTTAAGTTGTTTGTTGACAAAATCGCAATTTATTACACTTATCAATATAGCCTTGAACGTAGYAAGGTTATTTATAAATAATACAATTAACATTAAATTTTTTTTGCACATTTGAACTGAGAGAACTCACGATGTGGATAACATCTGGCCAAAATAATAAAAATTGAGACTTGTTCTTGATTCATAATATTTTTATTTATTTTTTTGCATGCATTTACAACACTAAACTCTAACTAAAACATTACTTTTAATAACATGACGCGCGTACATCAGTCAGAAAAAAATAAATTATGCATAATTCTTCCCGTTCTGCAGCCTGATTGTCTAAAACACAAAAAAATGCAATAACTGAATTAATTAATAGCTTTCAACTAAAATAAAACACTTCTGGCAGAATCACCAATGTTTGCTTTTAAGTTTAATTTTTTTGTGTTTTTATTTYTATTTTTGCAATTTTTTTGTTGTTGAAATTTTCTTTTTATTCGATTCCATCGCGACTGAGTCTGAACCGTGCGAAATCCTCGAAGACGATGTTATCYTCGTCGTCGTGCTCGTACGAGTTTGCATACCGGGCTTTTTCCATCGATCTCATCTTCTTGAAGGTTTTCGGTTTTTCTTTCTCGATAGCACCAGGTCCTGGATGGAGGAGTTTGAAGGGGACGTCGGTGACGAGTTCGCCGCCGAGTGTTCCACAGTCGAGTTTCGCTCGCAGAGAGTAGGAAATGACGATACCGATGGCGTCGATAGGGCATTTTCCTTCGGGGACGAGAGTGGAGCTGGCGAGGTTGACATCGTCGTCGCGGAGGCGGCCGTCGAGGGCGATGCCGCGTCGGTCTTTGTTACTCGCGGCGAGGGGCACCAAGTAGATGGTTTTGGTGAAGCTGGTGCCTGAGAAATTTCTTTAAAAAAACAAAAATTTGGGGTTACTACTTACCTGGGGTTATTGGGCATCCTTCTCGRGTCTCTAAACTGGCCACATATTTGGAAAATTGGGCATTGACCATCGTAACTTCYCAGTGTTGCACGGCGTAGATCTTGATGTTTCGTACCGACTTCCTCGAGTTGTTCGAAATGGTGATGTTAGCACCGATTTGCTCCCCGTGGTAGTAAATCTCCCGGTCGAGAGTCACCTCCAGGTTGATCTTCCCGCTGGAGAAGGTGAACCCTTTGGAGACGACSGAACTTGGAAGTCGGGTGATTACTCTGGGTTGTGGCAACATTTGCAATTTTTTGATYGCCAAAGTCACGGTACTCCTCTTGTGGCCCTTATCCTCCTCGTTGGCCGCGACGTAGATCTTGACGAAGTATTCCACTCCTAGGGGTTTGCCTTGGTCGTCTTCTCCGGGTTGCAGGGTGACCGAGCTGGGGGCCATCTCCGGGAATCGGAAAATGAATGGATAAGCGGTGGCCCCCATCTTCTTGACGAGTTTCTCCTGGACGGAAGTGAGGTCGGGGGATTTTTTCGACGGGACGATTTGGTCTTGAGAAATGACCATCTCCTTGCTGAATTTCAACCCCATGACTTCGTCCTCTTCGCGACCGTAGCGGTAGGTGGTGACCACCTGGCCGTAGATTTTGCGGCCTTGGAGGTAGCCATCTTCGACGACGATGACGCCATCGATGGGYTCGACGTGGTCCAAATAGTCGATGAAATCGCGTTTGCTTAGATAGACGGTGACTTTACCATTCGGTGTGGTCTTTTTGAATACTTTGACGGCAACAACCATTTGTTTGTAACACTTGGAGAGGTTGCGATTGGTACTTCCACCAGAAGTGGGGACTGAAACAATTCGTTTGTTCTTATAGTAGTTTTAAGACTTGTGATTTGATTAGTGTAATTGGATTGACATTATGGTTTCTGTTGCAGTTGCAAGGCTTCTTTTTGGTCACTGATGACATCATGGATCGGTCAGAGACGCGACGCGGAATGCCCTGTTGGTACAAGAAGGACGATATCGGTTTAAATGCCTTCAACGATGCTATACTTCTTGAACACGGCATTTATACGTTGCTTAAGAGGCATTTTTCCCAACATCATTGCTACGTCCCAACCATGGAACTCTTCCATGATGTTACACTCAAAACTTCAATGGGACAAGCTTTGGATTGTTTGTGTACCAAAGACGGAAAACCCAATTTGGAACTCTTCACTATGAATAAATACAACTCGATTGTTAAATACAAGACTGCTTTTTACACTTTCCAATTACCAGTGGCTTTGGCTATGTACATGGCGAATTTGTACGACCCAGAAATGCACAGGCAGGCTAAAACCATCTTGATGGAGATGGGACTTTTCTTCCAAATTCAAGTGGGTTTACTACTTTTTTTTGTTTATTTTTATTTATTTGTGTGTGTAATAGGATGATTTTCTCGACTGCTTCGGCGACCCTGCGGTGACCGGCAAACAGGGCAACGACATCCGCGAGGGTAAATGTTCCTGGTTGGCTGTGGTCGCCCTTCAGAGGGCCAACCCAACCCAAAGGAAGATCATGGAGGAGTACTACGGCCGGCCCGACCCTGAAGCAGTCCGAATCATTCGAAACTTGTACGAAGAACTGAGTTTGCCCAACACTTACGCCATCTACGAGGAGGAGAGTTTCAACATCATCCGTACACACATCCAGCAAATTTCCAAAGGACTCCCACACAAACTCTTCTTCAAAATAATGGAGAAAATCTACAGAAGGGACTGCTAGTGTGCGAATCAGTATTCAGATCATTTGCAAGATAATGAGTTAATTTAAGGTTATTTTAAAGGAGTTTTTTTATATTTTAGTTGTCCTGAAGTGTTTGATTGTAAGCTTTAATTCTATTGGGTATTTGGAGTTATCTTGTGAATTTTCGAGTCTTCTCTGTGTGATATCGTGCAGGCTGGATTAGTCTTAGGCCAGTCGGCGTTAATTTAGATTTTTTTAAGTTGTGAAATATTGAATAACTTTAACACACTTGTGTTTTTCTTCTTGGTAAATTTTCTTACCAACCCAAAAGCAAACAACCGAAAAAGGCCTAAAACCTCTCAAAAAGCATTAATTCCTATGCACCCCAAAAGTACCCAAACATCTGTAGACCACTAAAAATTAACTCATAAACGCCCTAAAGAAGCTAAGAAATTACCTTGTTTTTACACACCCCAAAATGGTTGTTTATTTCTGGACTAAGCCATTTGGCGCATGCAAAAAAAAAGAAAAACAACACCAAATCAAAGAGGTACCTATATTTGGCGCCTTACAAAACAAGGCAGAATCCTAAAAATTTATGTTTTCACAAAAGTAAACAACCGAAAAAGACAAAATCCTTGAAAATTTATATTTTTTTATGCGCCCAAAAAATACTCAAAAATCAATAGACCACCAGAAAATGAGCACATGGGAAAACTGTTAAAAATTAAGCATAATTATTAATTACATTAAAAGCACCCAAAAAAATTCGTTGTTTTTAGACACCCTAAAATGGCTTTTTACTTCTAGACRTCTTGTTTTTAAATACTCCAAAATAGATTTTGATTTCTGGACCAAGTTTTACGCTCCCCATCTATGATTATGCATATTGTTAATATTAGTCATAGAATAAGAGGAAGAAGATATTAGTTCATAGACAACATAGTAAAGTTTACCTAGTAAAAACCTGCCATCTAGCAGAAAATAATAGGATTAAAACCCTGCAGAGCTCTGTGGCGTCAACTGAAGCAGACTCCTATCTGCGACTAAACATACGGCCCTTCAAAAATTTTTTGGTATTTTTGGGATTCGTTTTGAAATTCTATTTTACAACTTGAAATTTTTATTTAAAAAAATATTCTGTCGCTATGAAAAAGATTTTGGGCTTTATCACGATTGGAACACGCAGCAAATGAATTTTATGAAATTCGTTATGAAAACTCAAAATCTTGTAAAAAAGCCCTCAATTCCAGACATCCCTAAATGGTTTTTAATTTCTGAACAACGGCAAACCACATAAAAACCTTAAAACCCATCCGTTTTTTATGTGAGAAATTATAATATCTAGATACGTTTATGTCAATGCTTATCAGTCCTTTTTTATTGTGAAAATACCTAGATAAAAAATGGAAAAATTCCAA